TCCCTTTTTGTCTTGCAAATGCTCTCTCTATTTATAGGCAAGAGGTTTGGGAGGCTCAAGTAACCATATTTTCAAGATAGTATATTATGGTTTGGAAGCTTAGTTATGAAGCAAACTTTAAAGATCATGGTTTCAATGCCTTGTACCTTGTCTCATAGGGTTGTTAGATACTTTAAAAATGTTTCTTCTGATTTATTAGATTGAGTATGTGCAGAAGCAATAAGTTAGAGGCTCAAGGAGAGTTGACAATTGCATAAAGCATGATTTTCCAAAATGGAAGTGTTAACTTTGTGCCATTAATGGAATTATGCTTTGGACAGTGCTTGAATCAAATGGACCATAGCTCAAAAGCTTGTTTAATCTTATGATTATGGATAGATTTGAAGGTTTAGAGGCCTGCAAAGTGAGGTTATGCAGCATGACATGAAGATTTTGTCTCATAGTTATCATAGAAACGACTATAATTCAAGTATGGATGCCCAACTTCATCTCTTTAAATATCCTAAATCAAGCATGATAAATTTGTACTCTTGGACATTTTGGAAAGCTTGAAACATTGTCTAGAACTTTCATGTTGATCACTTTGGCCAAATCAATAAGGAGATGGGTGAAAATTGACCAAGAAGTTGAGATAAAAAAACTGACCAAAACCTGTTGAAAGTTTTTCTAAGTGTTAGATAAAAACATCACAACTTCATGGATTCATATCTCTCAATACAAGAATTTTTTAGATTTCAACCCTCAAGGACAAAGTTGTATAATTCATCAATCCCTAAAACTTTCATGTTGAAAGTTTTCCTTGAATCATCTTGCATCTTAGTGAAAAATGGCCACGAAGTAGTGACTTTAACACTTAAAAAATTTCTAAGTGTTGGAAAATTTTCCAACTTTGACTTTTGTTGACCTTGACGATCAAGCTTGATAATTTTAAATATTTTGATGATTCTTGATTTTTGAATTTCAATATTGACCAAAAAGTCAAAGTTTGACTTTTGTGTGACTGTTGATTTTTTACCCAATATAGTTGACTTTCAATCTTCTGAACCATTGACTGAGCAATCTTGAGATGTAAGACTTGAAACTTGACATGAACATCCTTAAAGACATATGAAGAACCATGGAAACCACTTGAAACCCTTGAAACCCAAACATCCTTGAGTAACATCAAACCCGTAGTTGTGGACTTATTGCTTAGAAGGAGAATTATGACCAGTCAACTTCTTGAGTAGTTTTGAGCAAATGGGGACCTCATGAGAATGTCTTGAAGAAAAATAGGAGAGAAAATTTTGGGGTATAACAGAGTGGTATGTTGGAAGTGGAAAATATAAATATCTTATGATGCATTTGAATGAAGAGCTACTAATGAAGCATAAATACCATCAGTAATTTTCATCAACACAATATGTCTTCCCTTTTCAGCAACCACTCCATTTTTAACCACTGCTATAGTATCCGTCCGTCGAAACGTTATTGAATCATCATACAACTAAATAATAAGTGCATTTCACAAGTTTATCAATTTATGAATAAGGAAATATAGGACACCTATACAAACACCTTATCCATCTAATTGGCTCATCGAAATTTATTTTAGTAAGAATATGTCCAAGTTCAGAATCTACAATATTTAGTTTCTTTCGTAGCTCAGTCAAGAGCTCCTCTTTTCCGCATATCCATAAACAAATTACCAACATATACCTTGTATAAATAAAGAGAGGATTTGCATCACAAAAGCATATTCAATAAGCGAAAGTCAACCACAGAGAACGGGTTCAGAATAAATATTTACCCAAATAAGATCTGATTAAGCAATGAAATCCTTCAACATGGAACTGTAAGTCTCAATTTCCAGATAATGAATATGATGTTCCAAGTTTATTGCATCCCTTATCCCGTTTGGATATGCAATCAATATGCATTTACATCATCTGAATATTACTTCACATAATGCATTAAACCTTTACATGCATTATGAAAATCTAAAAAAATAACAATAAATCTACCATAATATCATGCCAAAGTTTCTCATGCATCATATAAAGGATAAGAGTTGCAAGGGCATCACTTTCAACATCTTCGACGGTATCAATAAAGGTATTTCTTTCTAATGATGAAAGAGTGTTGGTCAGTTTCAATATTATACAATTCAATGTAAAATGTTGAAAATAGTATTACCCACCTTTAAAACTTTAAAGATAACTCTAGTACTTTAAATATAGAATTTATATTTGAGATTTTCTTCTCATGGATTATGATGAGGGGATCCTTAAGTTCCTGTTTATACAAATAGATGGCATCATTAGACATGATATATCAACAATAAAATAAACAGACTCAAGACAAAAAGTGATAGATCTCGATGAAAAATCTTAAGCCCAAAACTGAAGTTATCTTGTAGTCATTGAAATCGACAGAGAAAATCAACATAATCCATTCTTTCTCGTTTTTCTCTTTTCCAGCAGGTAGTACCATCATCAACATATTCAAGAAGACTTGAGTTTCAAATGCTTCATGATTTTCATTATCTCTCTCCACCACCATGTCAATGATAATTAGCTTCCTTTCTTCATCTTTTTTCGCTATTGCAACCTTACATTTTTTCACATTCCTCATCATTCCAGTCATGCAATATCCACTGCTTTTTCATTCAAATTAGTAAGGATCAAAACCATTTAAATGAAATTAACAATTTTATAGGTTGCAACTATGTTTTAAAGCACATATCAATAAAATTATGTTATAACAGTTTACCTTCAATAAAATGGCAACAGTTGGAGGAATTTCTCAAACATGTTTCCACCAACATAGTTTAGGTTATCACTTCCTTGCAAGCCATCAACAACATGTGGGAGATCAAACACTGCGCACCCCAGTTGTGGGAATGATTTGGCAAAGGCCTTTGTCGTGGTCCCTGTGCCTCCTCCAACGCCAACCAATGAATCCAATTCATTGAACATTTCCTTACACTTCTCAATCACCACAGTATTGACCAATTTAGCATCAATTATCATTGCATCAATCATCAATTTGTTATATCTCGGCTCACTTGCTGCACACTCTCAATTGATGTAAATATAATAAAATATACCGTTTATACAATTTTTTTTAAAATAATTATTAGTTTTAATCAATGTCTTAAAACTTTCTTTTAGTCTAGAATTTGATTGAATATTGACTTTATATAAATTGTCAATAGTATGTAATATATATAATTTACCAGAACCACGTCAATTATATATTTACCAAAATAACACTCATGTTTTTTTATTGATTTGTTATCATATTTTAAAGTATTAAAGTATAATTTTGTAATGTCCCTATTCATTTCTTCTTCCAAAACCTTTAAGAGTAAATTTGGTAATTACAACTCTTACTAGCCCTAACCAATTTATTTCTCCTATCCAATCACACCCTCAAAAGAAACACACATGGCTGTATTCAAATTTATCCAAAAGAGACCCCTTTTCATCTCATTTAAATGCTATATATACTTTTATGATGTTCTATTCCATTATCTTTTGTATAAAAAAAGTAATTTAAATCACTTATAATAAAGTGTTTTGATTATATAACTCAAAAATTAAAAATTAAAAATAAAATATATAATCATGTAATAATTTCATTTTTTATCATATCATAATTATGAATTAAAAAAATTTGCAATATAGAATCATGTAGTAATTTCATTTTTTAATCATATCATAATTATGAATTATTCATAAACTCATTGAATTTTAATATAATTGAATTCATAAAATTCTTATGAACTTAACAATCTTATGGCATAATACAATTTATTTGATACATGTGAAAATGTTAATATGATAATTATTACTCTATTTTTTTTATAACTATCATTTTAAGGATTTATACGTAATATATATTTTATAATTCTATGCTTTTTTATATGCTAATTTTTGCATAAGAAATATAAAAAATATTTTAAAATAAATCATACATAAATATTTTAAATTATTTCGGTAAACTACAATAATTATTAATATTTTTAAATAAAATTCACTTGTACAATAGATTTACTATCGATTCAACATCATTTTCTTAAAGGTATAAGAAAGAGAGTCAGATAAAAAATAAATAATTCTTTTGAATAACTAAATTTAAGCATAATCACTGATTTTTTTATTATATAACAACAATCACAAACCACATATTTTATTTATATTTTAAGCACATCACATTGGTATACAGAATAACAAAGACGCACGTATGTAATAGATATTCAAAAACTTAGTAATAGTCTTAAATATAAGAGAAAACTAATTCTATCATAAATGTTAGAACTGTCCTCTTTCTTTATTCTCTTTCACACTAGTATATAACAATACCATATTTTATTCTCGTTGAAAATTCAGCATTCATAACATTTCACATCACTCGATACTGCAAAAACAAAAAGAAATATTATTATTTTTTATATACTAAAAAGTGAACACAACATTCATAATATAAACATTATAAATAGATATTTCTATTTGTCTTCGTTTGAAATCACATATAAAAATAAATAATTTTCTCATGCATGCAACCACTTTTGTCTATCCCATATTATTGATAGAATTTAGTACTATTTATTTTTCTTTATCTAAATACTTTGTTTATTTTAAGAATCTAAATGTAAAGTAATTTATTTTTCTGCAAACAAATACATCATAACTTTTACTCAAAAAGTATAAAACTCCTATTATTATTTCTAATAGTATGTGGCACAATTAATTTAGATATGAGAAGCTATTAATATTTTTAATAAATTAAAATAAAATATTTCATTTTAATTACACACCATAATTAAAATTAAACCAGAATAATATGAATACATTTTTAAATTTTAAACTTTATTTGTGAGGTTTTATGACATAAATCTCTTGAAAAATAGCACATTTCAATAACTTTTATTTATTTAGAAATTTAATTTAGAATTTTAAAAAATAGTTGGATCCATTTTTATAAGACTTAAATTATTTTTCACTTATAATTAATATTTAGATAATGCATGTATACCTAGCGCAGTTGATAGAAGGACTGATCTTGTAAGGGATATTAGTCCCACATTTTTCAGGAAGTGCAGCAGCATAGTCCACATTAATTCCTTTGATAGAAGTCGCGGCCGATTTCAAACAATCACAAGTAACACGGCGGTCAACAATAGTTTTAGCCGCGTTAACTAATCCTTTAACGCCATAACAACAGCTTGGTGAAACAACACCACCATTTTGAAGATAAAGTAGACAAGGTGCAAGACTATTGGAAACTTGTACACATGAAACTGCCCCACCATTTTGTGCATACATTAAAGCCATGCACATCGTAACAACACATGCTAGTTTGAAATTTTCCATGGTAACAAATTAAGTAATATTGGATAGAGTGAATATTAGGTGTGAGTTTGATGCATGGTGGTAGGGGTTTATATAGTGATTTTCGAAAATATTTTTAAGATTTTTGAGTTTGGTTGTGGCTGTATCTTATTTAATGTTTGAATTGGGATATGAGCTATTTGTTTTGTCTTTAATTATGATGTAATGGAGGACACCGCTAAACTATTTTTAAAGTGACACTTCAAACTGGCTCACTTTGAATAAACGGTGTGATGTGGATTGTTCTATTCTTATGTTACATCAATATTATTAAAAAAAACATTTATATTATTTCATATTAATTTCTATAATATTAGGTAGAGTTCAAAGGGAACAATGAATCTGGTAGGACATTTTTAATAAAATTTAATACAAAGGTTTTTACTTTTGAAATATTTATCTTTTATTACAATTGGGACACAGTATGAAATGAAAGTGTATAAAGGTTGAATTTAATTATTTAGATATTATATTAGATTTGATTAAATTTAATATTTAAATATAATTTAAATTGTATTAGCTCAAACTTAATTAGAAGTGTATATAAATAAGTATAGTGTATATCTTTATTTTGTATAATTTAAACAATTGAATAATATAATTCTTATTTTCTTTATTATTTTTTCTTTCTTTCCTCATAAAAGTGTATCATGCACTAACAAATTGGTATTCAGAGATTCCGGTTATTGTTCTTGATCGAGTTTTCAAGAACTTCACGTTAGAGATCGTGTTTCTAGGATAAGTGAATCAACAACTGCAAAGATGGCTAGTGATAAGGGCATTATGAATTTTCTTCGAATGCTTGACTGCAAAAATTGGATCTGATGTAATAAACAGATGCAGTCTTTGTTTGGCTTACATGAAACTCTAGAAGTGGTTAGTGACGGCGTTCCTGCACTGGCTACAAATGCAATCGACGGATAGAAAAAATCTCACAACGAAGTCAAGAAGAAAGATTGCAAAACTGCTTATTGTATTCAGACAGCGGTCGACGTTGCTAAATTTGACATGATTTCTCATGTTGAAACGACAAAGGAGGCATGAGATAGTCTGGTGAAGTATTACAAAGGAGGTGAGAAAGTCAAGGTTTTCAAGTTACCAACCTTGCGCTGACAATATGAGTTGTTGTCGATGGGAGAAGACGAAAAAGTTGCAGAATATGCGTCGAAGGTTCAGAAACTCGTCCATCTCATGAAGGATTATGGTGAAATCATAACTGATAAGTTGATAGTTGAGAAGGTAATGAGAATATTGACCTTTCACTTGGATCACGTTATCGTAGATATCCAAGAATCCAACAATCTTGAAACCCTAAAAGTAGAAGATTTGGTTGGTTCGTTGGAGCCGCATGAGATGAGGATTGTCGAAAGGAATGGAGTTTAGGACTCGATAGAGGCACTGCAAGCTCAATCATGGATAAAGGATGGTGGTTCCAACAAATTCAAAGGCAAAATTGACAAAACTCAGGGCAAGAAGTCTTGGTCGAATCTCCACAAGAATAAGATCGAAGATAGAGCTTCTGAGTCCTTGAAAAGGGGAGGAAGAAACTATCGAAAGGACAAAGAAGATAAGAATGGTATGCAGTGTTATAACTGTGAAAAGTGGAGTCACTTGGCTAAACATTGTTGGTACAGGAAATTTTATGGATCCACAAAAGGCAAGGACGAAGGAGCGAGCCTTGCACGCCAAGATTCAGATTACTCTAAAGGTGGTATGGTGGTTATGGCTGCAATTGCAGATAATCATGTCGAATCCAAGATCTGGTTCCTCGAATCAGGTTACTCGAATCACATGACTGGCCGAAAGGAGTGGTTGGAAAATTTTGATGAGTCGAAGAAGAGCAAGGTAAAACTTGTTGATAATAGTTCATTATAAGCAGAAGGTACTGGAAACATCTTTTTTTAAATGATTAATGAAGGGAAAGTTATGATTAAAAATATGCTCTATGTACCTGCAATGAAGTGCAACCTGCTAAGTGTTGGACAACTGGTCGAAAAAGGCTTCTCAGTTGTTATAAAAGATGGAGCTTTGAAATTGTTCGACACCAAGCACAATTGGGTCTTAAAATCTTCGTTGTTGAAGAACAGGACGTTTAAGACTATGATCAATTCGACTGAAGTTCAATGTTTGAAAAATGTTGTTGATCACAAGGATAGTTGGTTATGGCATTTGAGGTTTGGACATTTGAACTTTCGATCACTCAATCATCTGATTACTCAAGATATGGTATCTGGTATCCCAAGTCTTGAGAAGCTCAACAAACTTTGTGAAGGTTGTTTAGTCGGAAAGTAATCCAGAAATTATTTCATTTTAACTATACCAATGAGATCATGCATACTCGAAGTGATACATTCAGATGTATGTGGTCCTTTCGAAGAACATACTATTGGTAGAAACCAATATTTTGTTTCATTTGTCGATTAGTTCAGTCGAAAGATGTGGGTCTATGTGATCAAGATAAAAGTCAAAGTATTCGAAATATTTAAGAGCGATAAGAGGATCAAAGTTCTGCGAACAGATGGAGATGGAGAATACACATATAAGATGTTTGAAGATTTATATGCAGAACATGGTGTCGATCATGAGGTAACTACTCTGTATACTCCTCAACATAATGGAATTGAAGAAAGAAGAAACAAAACCATATTGGATATGACGAGATGCATGCTAAAGGAGAAGAATTTTCCAAAATCTTTATGGGGTGAAGCTGTTTCGAATGCAATTTATGTTTTGAACAGGTTCCCTACCTGAAGAATGGAAAAACACAAGAAGGAAGGGTTGAATTGGGATTAAAACTTAAAGAAAAGAACATGTCGATTATCCTGGTTTGTTTGAACTCAAACTACTCCAGTCCACCCGCCAAGGTGATTTCACCTCTCTCAAGCGATGTCTTAATCCACTAATCAAACTTGATTACACAATCACAATGACAACTGTCAATATCTTCTTGAGTCTAAAACCACAACCCGGTTTTCTCAAAGAATTACAAAATAATATAATTGAGTGTGTACAAATATGTTTTCTAAATAAAACAATATCACAACCGTGATGTATTACACAATTTAAGATTGCTAGGTAAAACTGGGTAAATATGCTTTTCTTTTTCGTGCGTAGTGGTTCGTTATGATTTTTTCTATACGTCTTCTTTATATAGGCATGCAAGAGTTACATAAGAAGATGCTTTTGGAAGGAGATAAATAGGAATTAATGAACTTTCCAAACAAGGAGATTATTGTCCTCTTTCAGCTGTTACATTTGATATGCATTGATTAAAATGTAACTCTTCAGAACTTGCTTACATTAGAAGATAACAGTTACCATTGGGAGTCCCTTACTTTTTGTTTCAGAACTTTACAAATCAGAGTATCAGAGATCTTGTTTCACAGTGTTGGTGCATTCAAAAGTTGTAACAGAACTTCTTCATATAAGCGTGCCACGCAGATTTGCTTCTAAGAAGGATGTGTCTGATTATATCATAATACTCTCATCTTCTATGCTCGCATAATCAGAACTTCTAGTGATGTAGAACCATATTGTGTTCTAACAGATCTTCTCTCATCAGAACTTCCCTGCATATTGAGATACTTTATTAGCGAACATATCTATTTATATATATATATATATATATATATATATATATATATATATATATATATATATATATATATATATATATATATATATATATATATATATATATATATATATATATATATATATATATATATATATATATATATATATATATATATATATATATATATATATATATATATATATATATATATATATATATATATATATATATATATATATATATATATATATATATCATGTGTTTGTTATCATCAAAAATCTTACAGGGATGTAGAACCCAACTATGTTCTAACAATCTCTCCCTTTTTGATGATGACAAAAACTTGTATATTTTGATGGAATATAAAGAACAAAAAAAAAACTCCCCATGAGTAGAATACTCAGATAACGAGAAAATAAAATACTTCCCTGAAGATCTTCTGATATAGCTTCTGATAGGAGTCAAAATATCTTTCACTCTCCCCCTTTTTTGTCAAGAATCAAAAAGTAGTAAAGACTGTATTTGACTTTCTTTGACAGAAGTTTCTTGAAAAGGTGTGACATCCTCTTCTTTTCTTTCTGATTGCCTCTGAAACCTGTGAATCCTCCAAATTTAAATTCCAGGCTTTGGAACATATACTTTCTTCCTATCATGTGTAGAGAGCATCCAAAATCCATGTGTTAAAACTGGTGTTTCAACCTTGCTATTAAAAATATTTTCAACATAGATGATTTTATCCTTTGGTACCCATATCTTTTTGGGTCCATGATTGTTAGAATTTCCAAAATTCTGTTTGAATTTTGGTTTAGCAGAAAACTCCTTACTAGTATATTTTATATCATGTGTTTTCCCAAAAGTAAAGTGAGAATTCAGAGGTGTGCATTTAATTACCAAATCCTTAAATTTCTTAGGTTGAGATAATTTACCTTTGTATCTTATTCCTTTCCTGCAATTTCTGCTAACTCCATATATCATTGAAGCCATCTTGCTTCTATCTATGTTTTTAGCAAGAAATTTCTGAAAGTTATGATCATATTCCTTTATGATCTTATCAGGGTTACTAGGAACTTATGAGATAGTTTCATTTTGAGCATTTTGTAATTTATTTTCAAGTTTTGAAATTGTTTCTTTCAGCTCAGAGTTTTCTGATCTCAGTTTCTTAGTTTCTTCAAAGTCATAAACTAGATCCTTTTTAAGGTTCTTGTTTATGGCTCGAAGTTTGTGATATCTTTCAAGAATTTCTAACAAACTCTCTTCTAATTAAGATCTAGAAAAGTTAGAGAATACCTCTTCTGACTCTGAGTCTGATTCTGATTCTGATTTAGATGATTCAAAGTCATCTGATAAGTTGGTCGTTTGAGCTATATTAGCTTGTTCATCTTCTGATTATATTCCATCTTCAGAA